GAACGGAAAACTACTGTACGTGTGTGACGAGTCATAGATTTTATATGAACTTGCTGCGTTCAGAATCTCGAATAGGAATATCGAAACGGAATCTCGAAACGCAATTCCGTATGTATGTGGCCGACCGGCCACATACATACATCAAGGCTTGAAAAATTGCAATTAATTCCAGCGTCATTATTGGCACATCAACATTTAATTTAAATTTAGCCCTGTATCCTAAATATTGATCAAAGACACCAGCTCCTACGCCATTTTTATTTTTTGAGTCGTCAGTGTATATTTTATACCAACCCAAATCATCATTCATCATCATCATTACAGCCTTTCATAAGTCCACTGCTGAACATAGACCTCCCCCAAGGAATGCCACAAAGCACGGTCCTGAGCCACCTGCATCCATCGACTTCCTGCATGTCTTACCAGGTCATCACTCCATCTCGTGGGGAGTCGCCCTACACTTCGCCTACCGGTACGTGGCTGCCACTCAAGAACCTTTCTTCCCCATCGGTTGTCGGTTCTTCGAGCTATATGGCCGGCCCACTGTCACTTCAGCTTACTAATCCGTTGGGCTATATCGGTTACTCTGGTTCTATATTATATAAAAATATAAATATTATTAAATTTAAAAATATCATAAGCTATCGAGCTGCTTCTGAAACCAGAGGTACACCGAGCTATATGCTGTAAAGCACTTTTGCTATCGCAAAAAATTACTATTTTATTAATTTTGTTTTTATGTGCATACATTAAGCCTTGAAAAATTGCAATGAATTCCAGCGTCATTATTGTCACATCAACATTTAATTTAAATTTAGCCCTGTATCGTAAATATTGATCAAAGACACGGATGTCGATTCTTTCCGAAAAAGGTCGATTTTTAAATCGATTCAAATCGTAAGTTTTTTTAGTGTTTCTATTTATAATGTAAATATAAGCCCATTTTATGAAAAAAAAGAAAGATACCATGATAAATGATCTCTTATTGAAATTTGTTTTATTTAACAGTACCTATTAGGGCAGATAACAAATTTGGAAAGAATCGACATCCCTATTGACGTCGACAATGACATTACAAAATGGCGCCAGTTTATTAGCAGATTAGACATAAACATTGCAAGAATAATTGATTTTCAATTATTCTTTTCTCAAAAATTACGCGTTTCCGTATATTGAGACTTTGTGTGTGTGCTTATAATAGTGTAATCTTTCTGTAAAAATACGTATCAACACCAAACTCCACTGACGTCAATGGAAAGCTAAGCCAAAATAATATGCATTTCTTCTTATCCTTCACTTTTGATAAAGATGAATTGATTGACGACTCATTTGGTAAAAACGGTCTAATAGTCTGCTACGGTGAAACATGCAAACGTGGTAGAACCACGTTATATTATGGTTGTAGCACGAATAGGTCAGCTCGACCGGGGAAATATCACGCTCTCACAGAATACCAGCGTAAAATAACAGCTTAGCGCTGTTGTGTTTCATATGGTGAGTGTAGAGTACCGGAGACCCTTTATAGTGGGAACAAGGCAATCCATCTTAGTTCTCAGGGGTGACAACGCATCTGCATTTTGATTCGTAATCGAGGATAAATGTAGATTTCTATCCACTTACTATTACGTGGACTTTGTGCTCGTTTGTCATCCATATTCTATATAAAAAACATAGATACAAACCTCTGTTGTCTGTTCTCTGGATACAAACATACATACATTGAATGTCAAGTACAGAACCATTTCTTTAAATAGCCGTATTCGGTTAAAACATAGGTTGAAAGTGACAACCCCTGATAGCAAAACATGGCAAAGTAACCATCACATCGTGGCATCTCTAGTATGGTAACTTTGCCAAGTTAGTTTTATAGATAAATATTAAGACCAACATGTTAAAAACGATATATTACATTTGATAACCATTAATATTACGTTACTACAGAGATATAGATACCTACATTCAATAATTCAAACAATATCAACCAGTTTTGGAGCACTGAACATAGAGGTTATTTCGCCGGCACAATTTAGCATTAAAATAAAATGCCAAAATTAACTCTCATGTTACCATATTGAAAGCAATGCTGTCAATTATTTATTGTATTTTCATCTAAAGAATGGCATATTTTGAAAAACGTTACGTTTTCCGTGTTAATCGTAATTTTGTAACAGTACATCCCTGATAGCAAAGTTAACTTCCATTGGTAATGTTGCCAGACTTGAAGGTAGTATACGTTTTTGGTTTTAGCTTTTTTTCTTGTGATACAGCATAAATCTGTTTATGTTACATAAATATAGGCATTATTAGAAAGGCGAAAGGTGATTTTATTTTTTTAGTGTCCCACCCTCATTTCGCAGTTCCGAACGAAAAATATTAGTATTATCCTACCCTTTTCTTCAATAATTGTATGTAATTTGGTTGGGTTATAAGATCCTAATTCGGTAATATTCCTTGTTTATATGGCTTAGAGCACAAAATAATATAAAATACTTGTTTTTACTTGTCCCTTAAAACGCCGTTAGTGGAAAATTCCATATACGCTACGTCGATTTATTGACTTAGAATGCAAAAAAATAAATAAAGTAAGTGTTGTTTTTGACAATTGGTAGAGTTTTAGTTTTAGCAAGCAAACAGTCACCATATTAGTTTTTTGATAGCAGTCGCGTTTGTGAAATGCAAGTAGGTAAGTAGTTGGGCGTCACGTCGACCTGTTTTCTTTTTCCACTATGAACTTGATTATTTGAGGTAAGCGATAACTTTTTGGTATTAGAGATTTTGATGGCTAATTAAAGAAAGTGTTAAGAAAATGGATTGAAAATAATATTTAGTAAAATTACAATGAAACTACTGAAATTAGAAATTAGTTTCTGTGCCGGCGGCATACGTAACGTCCTCTACACAACGTATTGTGTTAGGGGAAAACCAAATGTGACGTAGTGACCAGTGGCATAACAGTCTATACTATAATATTTCTTATACCTCGTAGACTCTCGCCTCGTACCTCGCCTCGCAGCTCGCGTGTTGTTGTGAGGTAACGTAACGAGTGCCTGTTTACACTCTCGCGATGCGGTCAGTTTGCGTTAAGCCAGCAACGATGAATGACGTCGAAATAATAGCGGCATCAACTCTTGCCTTAATAAGTATTTATCGATGTTTGACCATTTTAAAAAGATGGAAATTAATAAAAATACGTCGTTGAGGAAGAATATGACGGATGATATCTATTCATCGAAACAGAACCTTTTCAGTTTCATAATTTTATATAAATTGCGAGTACCTATTAAGATTAAATAATATTTTTATATTTTTTAATATTTTTGTTATTTTATATATAGCAAGATTAAATAATATTATTTTATTAAAATTGTATTTTAAACCAAAAGCAATTCGAATGTTATTATGGAAGGGCGCCGTAAACAAACTGAAACGAGACGCGAGTGTAAACACCACGCTCGCGTCCCTCGCGAGGCCCTTTGCCTCGTGCCCATAGATTACCCCCTAAGGAGGTAATCTATGCTCGTGCCCAAAAAACCGCCTCCGACGCGAGCGCCGCGAGTGGCGAGGCGAGCTGCGAGGCGAGCCACGAGCTAGCGTTTACACTCGCGCCTCGTGGCTCACCTCGCGACTCGCCTCGTCGCTCACGCGAGAGTGTAAATGAGGTATTAGAGGTATTAATATGTCTTGAGAGTTTGTCCATGTTGCAGTAGATGTCGCTATTTTTAAATTTAGCCATGCTAGGCCAATTAAGAATCAAACAAATTAATGAAGAGATAAAAATATAAACAAACCTTGCTAACTTTTTTTTAATTCTAGATCTATCTAAATCTAATTTTGTTGCAAAACAAATTTGTAATTATATTTTTATGTAATTTATTTATTTTACATTTATTCAAGTGAATTAGGTATTATGATTTCGCCGTTGCAAATTGTTTTCTCCGTTTATCTATGGTAAGATCCGAAGGGAGAAATCTATGGTCAAAGAGAATATAATCACTACGTTTAATCTATGGTCATTTTGGTCTGTCAATGTTACAAATGTCATTTAAATTTAATTTTATTATATACCTACCATAGATTTAGAATGTACAAGATTAACAATGACAGGTTGAGAACGTAGATTGAGGATTGACTAGATAAAGCATTCGCGTATGCTTTTGAGTAAAGATGTAACCGATATATTCGTATTCCTTAAGATATTAGTAATATTGTGTGGATTCATAGATCAGTAATCCAACGGATTCTGATATGCTAATATTCCATATTCACTTCATTTATACACTAACTGTTCAACGTCGGTTGGATAATATCACTCGGCTCGACTTGACTGCTGCTATTCGTGATGGATATCTGTATCATTCGTATTGTAAGTATAGCGGTGCAAGCGAGCGAGCCGAATGACCAAATGAATTAACCGATATGAGCGTTTGGCGGGTATTCGTTCTCTATTGTATAGTATTTAGGGACTATTTTCAATTGGATATTTTATATCATGGTGACCAGCGGGACTTTACAAATAAAACTCTTTATAAATGTTTAAAATTTATTGACTCTCTAGTAGTTTTTTAATAGTGTATATTAACATTTATATATTTTAATAAATAATTGGACATATATTAGTTTAATTGTCATGGTATTTTTGAAATGAGTTATCATATTGTTAGATATTGTAAATCATTCTTAAAATGTAAACATACAAAACAAGGGCCCTTGTTTTGTGCAGTGGATTTATTTTTATTCCAACCACTTAAAATCACTTTCAAATATAATACTTATATAAACAAAAGGTGTATTTTGATCCAATGAAATTCATTTCTAACTTTCTGGGTACGGTGTGGTGTAACACATTTGGTAATTCGTGAATTCGTGAACATTAAATTAAAATTATCTTAAACAGTGTATTAAAAGTTTAGTTCACTTGCTGAGTGTTAAAGCGGTTAAAAGTAAAGGCATATATCTATTTTTTGCTATATCATAAAACAAAAACACTTTAAATTAGAAATATGAAGCGCGCCCGAGTAAGTGAAGTATGGAATTATTTCACAGTTGATTCTGAAGAAAATAAGCTTGCAAAATGTACTATCTGCCAATCGAAATTTAGTTTTAAAGGAACTGTTTCCAATTTAAATAAACATTTAAAAAATAAGCATTTTATGACTGTCCCTACTCAAAACTCAAGACAGGAACAGGAAGTTATTCCAACGAGGCCGCTAACTTTACCAGTGATTGACTCCAACGCCAACGTTGAGCATGCAGATTACGTTGCTTTATCTGGATCTTCACAAACCGTAAGTATGCCAAGCGTACAGACAACTTCGGACCCGCAAGCATCTAATAAAATTCAGTCAACCCTAAGAATGTTCGCTAATACTAAAAAGTTATCGACGAAACAAAGAAAAGAAATAGATGACGCATTAATGTTATTGTTTTTTAAAAGTTTTCTGCCGTTCTCAATAGTTGAGGATGTATATTTCCAAAATTTTGTAGCAAAGCTAAACCCAGCTTACCAGCTTCCGAGTCGTAAACATGTATCAAATACATTGTTAGATGCTGAATATCACAATTGTTCAAATAAAGTCAGAGAAGAACTCAGTAATGTCGATTCTGCTTGTCTCACAATAGACTGCTGGACATCAAGAGCACAAGAGGGCTACTTAGCGGTAACAGCGCACTACATAGATAAAAACTTTAATTTAGAAACTGCTCTTCTACAATGTCGCATTTTGTCTGGACCGCATACAGCAGTTAATTTGAGTACGGAGTTGAATGAAGTCATGAACGATTGGAACTTCACAAAAAAAGTTAAATTAGTTGTTTCTGACAATGCTCCAAATATTCAAAACTGCATTAAAGATCTTCATTTAAAAAACTTTGGATGCTTTGCACATACAATTAATTTGATAGCCAAAAATGGCCTAATGATACCGGAAGTCGAAATTTTTTTGAGTAAATTAAGAAACATTGTGAGTCATTTCAGACGAAGTAACACTGCTGTCGAAAAACTCCTTAAATACCAAGTAAATAATAATGTAATACGACCAAAAAAAATGATAATAGATGTCGCAACCAGATGGAATTCCACCTTTTATATGCTAGAAAGAGCTTTATTGTTAAAGGAAGCAGTAACAAGTACATTGGCAATCTTAGACTCCGCAAGTAGTACTTGCCTTCAAAATATTAGTGCCGATGAATGGAAACTGTGTTCAGATTTATGCACAGTTTTAAAACCGTTAGAGCAAGTTACTGTCCAGATTAGTGGAGAAAAATACCTTACAGGTAGTCTTGTCATAATATTTAATAGATTATTAAATAATGTGTATTCCGACAAAATTTCACACGATGAAACACTACATTCCGGTGCTAAAGTTGTATGCAATAGGATTATACGTAGTTTGCTCACAAGACTGAATAATATAGAGATGAGTGGTACTTTCGGAGTAGCTACATTTCTCGACCCAAGATTTAAAATGGCATTTTTTCTTGATAAAAGAGCAGCTGAAGCAGCCAAAAAAAGGGTGATTGAAATGGCAGTTATTGAAATAAATAAAGAAAGTGCTAGACAGGAATCACGGTCAACGATAACGTCAACAGCGCCGACTACATCAACAGAAACCGGAATATCAGAAGATACCAGCAAGCCATATAATTTCATAGATATTTGGGCGGATATTGACATCCAAGACGTTCATACACTGGAGTCACCAACGGCAACAGCTATTGCCGAGGTTCAGAGGTTCATAAATGATAGAATGTTACCAAGAAATGCAAGCCCCAATGATTGGTGGCGTAAACATTCTTTTTTGTACCCTAACCTCAGCAAGGTATTCAAACAGCACTGTTGTGTACTAGCCACTTCAGTACCTTGCGAAAGAATTTTCTCAAAATCTGGGGAACTAATTTCTGACCGACGAACTCGTCTGTCGTCAGAAAAGGTGAAAAAATTGATGTTTTTACATACGAATAAAAAATAAAATTTTCATATACACATTATATAAAATGTTGTTTGTTTTTCATTCCAATTCCTCACAATATCATTTATTTATTAACAACATTAATATTCATCAAAGCATATAAACCGAGCATACATTCGTATAAAAACTAATAAGATTGCTTGGTAAAATAAACTTATTACCTACATTAATAGAATAGTGATACGTATAACCGTTATATTAAGATATCAGCAATATTCATATATTAGTTTAAATATTATAATATAACTTGACGAATATATTCATATTAACTAATACTGACAAATATCGGTATTAACCCATCTTTACTTTTGAGATAGAAATAGGCGCGAGGTACTTTCACTGGGTTACCAGATATTGTTCCATTTCCCCCGTTATGGGTTTATTTATATTCACAGCACTTACATTCATACAAAAAACTTAATTGTTACCATAAAAATATGTTCTTTTATAATTCAGATGATTAATTAATTTCTCTTGAAAATACATTCTGTGACAAAAACTACGGGCGGAAGCGGCGTAAAAACAGAATCATCATTCTGTATTCAACGGCGCATCGACGATTTTACAGGACATTCAATAAACTCTTTGGATTTCGACGGCACTAAGTGAAGACGCTACTATCACAAAGTGTGATATTGCTAATAAATAACAATATGTTATGTATATACTTAATTATTAATTAAGGATAAAAATATTAAATAATAAACAAAAATTTCCTCGTGTCGAGATTTGTTTTTACAAAAAAAAATCAATAATGTTTTAACATACCATTCCATCACAAGTTCAGTGCTGAACACAGACCTCCCGAAAGGAAAGGCTGTCCACTTAGGTTTTGTAGTACAAAACACGGTAAAGAGGCTACTCCCTCGATTTCTTGCATGTTTTGCTAAGTTAGTGTCTTGTGTGCGGCGAGTTGTGGCGTACAAGAGAATTTGTCTGTATACGGAATGATATTACCCCGCGTCGTAAGCAATAATGCAAAATGGGGATGGGGCAGCAGCACTTTCCCGAGGAAAACTTAAAATAATAAATAACTGCGGTGGCCAACCAGCATAACGCATATTTTCACGCAGGCGTGGCAACTATGGTAAAAGTCATCCTATGAGTATATCTAGGGAAGGCCTTTTTAGGTGACTTACTTATGGTTAGGTGGCTTAATCATGTTACCTAATGGTTAAGGTGGTAAAATGTTTTAGTTAATATACGTTGTAAAGCATCAACAAAGGTTTTGTTTTTGTAATATGTTAGTATATAAAATAAAAACGAATGTTTTATAATATTCTATTTTAATTTACCATGCAGTGTAAGATTATCTGCTACCTCATATCATTCCATGGGTGGTGTATGAGGCGACATAGGGAAACATCAAAGAAGATAAACAGCAGCATCTTCCTGATAACAGCTAAATAAAAAAAAACAGTGGTTGACAACCCGCTTTCCAAGCGTTGAAACTAAGTCAAATAACTATAATCATGTTTATGTTCAACAGTAGACTTTTCAAATGAATGTATATAGAAATATAAAAAGGAAAAAGAACTAAATTTTGTGTACTTACACAACATTAAGAAATATTAACAATGTTACATTAAATAAAACAAATTAAAACACATATATTAAATATAATTCAATAACATTAAAATAAACATACGATTATTTATAAATTTTTCATCACATTAATAAACAAATTTAACAAAATTTTTGTCTTCTTTCTAGAGCATTCCCTGTAATTCTTGGTTTGAGCAGCTTTAGAATTTCTCAAAAATATGCATTTGTAAACTTGATTTATACTTTACATGGCAGAAATTCTTGGGTGCTGGTTGTTAGAATCGGATTAGAAGGGTATATATATATATAATACATTTTAATGGTATAAATAATAAGGTACAACTCCTAAATTATACTTAGATAAGTAATACTTATCTCTTGTGAAAAAGATCTTTATTACATTATTTATGACAATTAAATAGAAATTATCATAATTATTACATTTATTTCTTAATTTATTTACACATTATTGTTTATAAAACCTTTATAAAAGGGATTAAAGGTGGACTAAATGTCCCATTGGTAGGCATTACCAGTCAGTTTTACAATTATTATTGCATAATAAATTATTCATTTGTATATTTAGGTCAGGACTTTAAATTATTTATTTATTTCTTTTATTTAAATCTTTATTTGCAGAAAACATGGTAGTACAGATAAAGTTCCAACATTTGTAGATGAGGACTCATGTTTAATCAATCCATCTATAAGTAAATATTATGTCATTGTCATGCAACCAAATTATTACAACTCTTAATAATACAGAATGTCAGCATTTGAAAATAAAATAAGCAATGCTAGTCAGTTTTTAATACATACAGAACAATGTCAAAAATCATAACAACTAAGAAGGTCAAACTTATATCACTTATGGAGAAACAACAAGATACAACAAGAAATTATAACATTTAAAAAAATATCTTAATTATATTATAAATTACATAAGTTAAGTATATTTAGTCCACCTAAAACAATGAGGCTCATAATGTTTTATAGCATATACTGCTAAGTTTTGTTGGTTACCTATAATTACTACCAGTAACAAATATCCAACAGTTATGGATAGCTGATTCCTTAGAAAAGCTGTGAAATAATATATTTAAAAGAAATTAATATATTAAATATATAGTACACTTTTATATCAAGGCATTTAACCAAACAAAAATCAAGTATGGGTATCTGTGCATAAATACAATACCTATAAGAATTAATACAATATCAATTGATTTAATTAAATAGCAAGTATATGTAAATGTAATGATAATATTACTCATACCAAACATTTAAAAAAATTATGTACATATTAAGCTTTAGATATTGTTAATTAATACATTTACAGCCTAACATAGTTATGTCCTCCACAGCTGAACATAGGCCTCCCACATAGTTTGTCTCCAAATAACTGCAGTTGCCAATTCTCCTGCCAAGCTAGGCAACTATCACAAAAACTATAACTTTGACTTTTGATACTGACTAATGGTAACAGTAAGTATATTATCATCAAATTTTTTCTACATCATTAATTGAGAATATTATCTTATGTTGTTGTGTTATTGTGTACCTTAAGATTAAGACTTATTTATTTATTTATTATTTTATCAATGTTTATATTTATTTTTATATTAGTATGACATATTTATTTATTTTTTAATAAATATTGTAATGTAATTGTTGCTAATGTATAATAGAATTAATGGAATGCAATAAAGTTTTGTGCATCTGATTTCAGGCAATACATATTTTGTGAAATTAAATATACTTTGCCCAATGTTTATGTACTTGAATCCAAACATGTTTTCAGGTTGATACTTACATAATATTATTTGTGACATCTATGTAATATGAAAAATGATTGAAGAGTTGTAGGGCAATAAGGAGTTTCCTTTAAAGCTGAACATAAAAGTGTATGTATATGTATAACATTATGTGATTCATATTTATGGACATAACTACTAATCACAATAACAATTATTATTGAACAATGCGAAAACATTATTGTACTCGCTGATATCCCTAAAGTTTCTATAATCCTACCAAATCAAAAAGTACACGTTTGTTATGACTTTAAGCTTTCGAATGACCGTTCAAATTAAGGAGCATTATCATGAAGAATTTACAATTTGGGAGTACAAATATTTGACAAAATACATCACAAAGTTCATTAAACACATGAAATGTTACACTTTATATTCAAAACAATAGATATTAATCAGTACAAGTAGCAAATGTAAGCACAAAACAAACTTACCGATGAAAGGTTATATTATCAATTTTTCGTTGACGGATGCTGTTGCATCCTAAAATGCTACAACTTACCATCTTTTTAACCTTACCTAATAACTAAAACCCACAAACAACACTAAATTCAATTAGCTGTTTGCTTATAATATCAATATTATTCACAAGAGCTTGACATCGTTAATGTCAAATAAAGGAGGGAAAACAATCAAAAACGCATACTTAGAAAAAGACAAGAAATATAGATTTGCTTCTCCCTTACTCTTATGTCTAACTATATACGTGCATTCCTTTCACACGCTGATGACGTCACGGAATGTTTAGTCTATAAGATACAAAGTCTATGGTTGAGAACGATACCAAAATAAATTTGCTGTTGTGTAAGTAGTCATCAATGTGAGAGTTAAAAATAGGGCTTGCGACGTGATTATATTATATTTATCGACACTCCACGGAATTAAAAATCGATAGTCAATTCATTGTGGTCTTGCAAGTATAATAATGTCATAATGTAATGTAAGCTGATATAAAATTTTTCACGCTAGGATTGTTATTAAAACCTCCTTTTGACCGAATTGCGCTAAAAAACATTTCTAAATGGTCCTGTGACAATTTGTACGTTGGAAGAAATTTAAGATTATCTTGCTTCTCTACGTAATTAACATAGATCCATTTTAGTGCAATTATGTTATTTACAAATCCTAAGAACCCTAAACGTTTCGGGGTACTTATCAAAAATCTACCGTCTTCACATCTGAGATTTTGAAAATACTTATATATTTCATCAAGATTCTGAAAAATGTCTGCTTTGTTACTCGGACAAAGCGGCTTTTTGAGACCTAAGTTATTTAAATTTCTCGAGTTAAATATGTCAAAAATGTTGTTGACATTATGAAGAAACTGTACCGTTGCGGATGAATTCTCAAATTCAGAAATGTGAAGATCATTTTCACACACATCTATAGCAATAGCTACTGACCTACTTAACAATTGTGCAGCTAGACGGACTTTCATTTTTTGGGTCCTGAAATTAATATGTCGTGCAGATAATTTATTTGCAAGATGCCTTCATTTTTTTGTAAAATGTGTAGCTGTTGTACAAACTTAAATTCAATTTTGCGGCCCATATTATCATAAAATACTTTGTGATCCCCAAAATAATTTCTAATCAACTTAATTAGATGGCATGGATCAAACAAAATAATATATTTTCTGTT